GCTCAAGTGAGTCTCCTGCCTCCACCTCCCAAGTAGCTGGGTCCACAGGCGCCGGCCACAACGCCTGGCCATTTTTTGGTTGTAGCCATCATTGCTGTTTGGCAGGCCCCGGCTGGATTCGAACCCACCAGCTCAGGTGTATGTGGCTGGTGCCTTAGCCGCTTGAGCCACGGGCGCTGAGCCGTGACTAGTAGTCTCGTGATGTTTGTGACATTTGCTTTGTGCACTGTTCTGTGACCATTACTCCACTTTACATCACAAGCTAGAAACTATTTTGTGGAGAACAGGACATACTTGGTCAATTGAGTTCCCCAAACTCATTGTTTGTTGTAGGGCCCTTTTAAATTTTCTTATCTAGGAGTCCAGACTTCTACATCCCTGTAGCCCCTTTTTATCCCTAATCAGGTATCAGGCCCTTGCTGGGCTGGGCCTTTTCCAGCACCATCTCACTACCTCACTTCCAGGTGGAGGTGACAGTACCCACTTAGCAGATAAGAAAACTGAGCCTCTTGTGGACAGTGTCTTTTGGTGAAATGACTCAGGAATGGGTTCAAATAACTGCTTCTTATTACTTACTGGCCACAGGACCTTCAGCAAGAGACTCAAACTCCCTGCCTCAGTTTCCCAGCTGTCTCCCAAGTTGATGGGAGCATTAATGAAATCGAAGCAGAATACTTACAATGGTTTAGTCCATAGTAAGCACTTGCCAATGTTGATGATACTGATACTGTTCTTCTCTGGGCCTGTTTTCCTCTCTTTTTTTTTTTTGGCTAGGGCTGGGTTTGAACCGCCACTCTCTGCATATGGGGCCGGTGCCTTAATCGTTGAGCCACAGGCGCCGCCCCTGTTTTCCTCTCTGTAAATAGCTCTTCCTGGACATAGACCAACTATGGGCATGGGTTGCCATACCAAGAGGGAGATATCTATGCTGGAGGCACCCATACTCCCAGTCCCCACCTGCCAGCCCTGGGAGGGAGGTAATAAAGCTCTTGGAAGGCCCTACCATACCCTCAAGGACAGTGCCAACTAAGGCAAGGGTCAGGCAGCAGCCCAACACTGGGCTGCCTCCCTGCATGGTGCCAGAGGTGCTGGCTGGATTCTGGCTTCTGTTCATTTTTTAGCAGGCTGGCGCCAGCTAACCTCTCAAATACCCTCCAATGACAGTAGGCAATGCTCCTTGGCAACAGCAAATGACACCCCCACCATGTGTGCCTCATTTGAGCCCAGCTAGGGTGCCTGGAATCTCAGCTTTTTTATTTTGGCTTGGTTGGCCCTGGACAGGATACTGCTTCTCTGCCCTCTGGTTTCTTCTACCTCTCAGGGATCCCAGGAATCATCTGACAAGTAGGCTGGTAGGCAGACTGTGGCACAGTGTCAGGACTTAATCATCCAAGGCCAGAAAGTCATGCTCAAGGTAAGGTTAAAAATACTGGCAAATGAGGATGGGCATGGAGGTAGCTAAAGTCTCATCACACTGCAGACCCTTGAACCAGGCAAATGTATTTCTCTCTCTCTCTCTCTCTCTCT